CCTCTGGTAGCCATCGTGTTGAGATGTCAGGTCTTGCAGCTTTCATTGCTAGTTTCACTTTGTACTCGAACTCTCATCAGCTATCGCTGTCAACGTGGTGGCAATGGCGGCTTGCTCACTTTTGATTCTGCATTACCCCCAGGTTGCTTTTGTCCTCCAAGAGAATCCAGCAGGGTGTCAATTTCTCAAGGAAGATTCATTACTGGATGGGACCGCGACCAAGGAATCAATGATCTGTCATCGCGAGCTACTGGGGCGGACAGGATATATGGAGAGCACCAACAATCACTCAGGCACTTTGACTTCTAAAATGAGCTTTAATACCGGGTCCGATTGAGGCTACTCACAGTAAATTCCAAGGCCTTCAGTAAACTTTTTTTCGGATGGTAAATGATATTCCCACCCTCATCCTGTGAGTTAGGGGTGTGTTTACAACAAACTATCCCTGCCTTTCACAGTGAATTATCATGCTAGTCCACAAAAGTGAGTACTGCCACACAATGATGAGTGTGGGAGGAACCAGATCTCACACTAAGAGCTCAACATATTGCTAGAGTGCATGCAGGATTTACTCCAACAAGAGTTGAGTTTGATTTGGGGGGGCCGCACCCTACCGATACGCGGGCGATGAAAGTTCTCACTAGCAAGCCCTCGAAGATACTAATTCAAGATACTCTCCAGATGAGCTGCACTAGGAAACTTAGAGGCTTAAGAATCAATCCACTTGTTAGCCGGGACAGTATAAAGGAGATGCTGTCCCACATACTGAGGCTTCTACAATCATCAAGAGATGAGGAACAGCCCCGACACAACGCCGTCCATCTGAAATGTTTCCAGGTGCAAGAATGTCTGGTCACAAGTACCCGCTAGATCTGAAGGACGTAGAACGTTTCTTCTTTGAACAATTGTATCACGATTTTGATTCAGAATTAACGTTCTCTTCTTTTGACATATGTACCGGGTATATCAGGGAAAAACATGAAAATCTCTCATCTCCTGAGCCATCCCAGAAGCAGAATGTGCCAGTCTTGTGTCGAGGCGGCAGGAGCTCAAACTCAACACCAGATATGCATCTCGACCAACCTCCCCCTTATGATCTGGTTAAATATTCTGCTTCGAGGAAAGACGATGAACGAGCAGTCAACTCTCAGATCGATATTACCGCCTCGCCCAAGAAATCACGGCCTTGGTGGCGCTCGTGGCTAGAATCAAGATTAAAGAAACCTCATGGCCCTCCCAAGCCTACGCCATCTTCTTTGGATCCGCCGCTAAAACCTCTCATGCTCCCAAAGGCCCAAGGTCCTCGTCGCATTCAGGAACGATATGACCGGCCGTGGCAGGTGAGCCCGATCTTCAGGCTGCCAAAGCCCATATTGGTCAAGATAATGATGCGTCTGACGCCAATATCTCTCTGGTCTCTCCGACAGGTGTCGGCACTTTTCCTGGCGCTTTTTGACCACCGACAATTTTACCCGTTTCACGACGAGGTGGGCCTGCATGATGCTCATATGAAATTCTCCCCTGGCATCATGTCAGAAGAGGAAAGGAGAGCAGCCCGCGCAATGCTTCAACCGAGCCAAGAGGTGAAGAATTGGTGCACGGCGTGCACTCAGGTCCGTGAAAGCGGCGAAATCCATCCTGCAATGATCAGGCTTCGCCAGCTCCGATTTTGCGATGCATGCGGTGAGAGGCATGCGGGTATCTTTTTCCCACAGAAAAGCATTGAAAGGAGCAATGAAAATCTCGTTTGTATCGGGAGACTGGGCAAAATGGAAGTATGCTCTCACATGGAACCTATCATGTGGGATTCCCTCAATGATATTCTCCCTGTTCCAAACGAAAAGTATGGTGGATGTCCCCACCCGATGCATCACCCATGTTCCAAGAAAAGCCCATGTTCCAAGAAAAGCTGGACAGACTATACGGGAGAGAGTTTGGATACAACGTTAAAAACAACAGTGGATTATGCCACACTCGGCATCCCGACAGAATATAGCTCGTTCCCGCGGCTATTCATCAGACGATGGAAGCCCCCGAAGGATTCCCGAATTACAATCAAGCTTGGTTGGGATCTTCCGTTGCTAGATATCGATAGCAAAGATCCTCCCAGCACGGCGGGTATTCGAAATGTACTTCAACAATTGATCGCGGGAGGTGCTCTTCGATATCACAAGACTTGTCCTCATATGGCGGACGGAAAGGCCCTTGGTGACTTCGTTTCGACTGCGATTTGCGACTGTTTCGGAAAGCCATGTACGTCGAAAATCCCCGATATACTCCTGTTCTCTGGGACGCCTTGCGAATGCTCACGTCCCCGAACAAAATACCTGATATGCGAAGATTGCGGCGCCTTGTATACCTGGGCTCTCACATCCGGACGCATAACACTGATATATCGATACTCATGGAGCGTGTATAAACCAACCAGCCCAGCGTGGCTGAATCTCCTAGATGATTTACCCACCCTGGCCGGGGTTTTCCACGAGAAGAACAAGCATATTTTCTGGTGCGATAGCCCTGGGTGCGCAACAGGCAGGGACCTAAGACTCTGGCAAAGGATGGTAAAGGAAGAAATGGGACTCCATCATGAGAGATATGAAGAACCTGGTATGGAGCTCTGCGACTGGGCTATTCATCTTGAGCGGTCCAAGAAGCGGGGGTCAGGGATCGGATTGCCCCCAAGAGTGGCAGACTCTCAGCGTCCCAAGTTCTTGCACGCCGTGAGAGAGGCTGCCAAAAGTGAGTTTAGGTAGTACGCGGGTCTGTAGGGACCAGGACATTCATTGTGTTGAGTTGTCGGGCTCTGGCAGCTTCCATTGCTGTTGAACTTTATTCTCTTTCTCTTACGTAGGGACTAGGATAAGATTGATGTAGTTTATAATATATCCTAACTGTTGTTTGATCCTTGGTTTTGTGTTCAGCTGCGCATCGGTACTGCTGATGATTACAAGTTCTCCCACTCCTATATATTAACAACCTGTCGTGGCTTGCAAGGCGCTATTTAGGAACCAATTATTCCTCGATGGTAGGATTAACTGACAGCAAAACATATTGCTAATACATGAAAGTATTGTGCTATGGCATTTGGGGCCTTGCTGTGAGTTCTTGACCTTGTTACTTGTCTCGGACTGAAATGGCAGTTGGTTTTGGCCGTGGCACGCCGATTCTTCCACGGAGCTCCACGGGACCACGGGACATGCCGCTTATGAAGCACCCTCCCTCTCACTAAATGGAGCATCTAGATGTTAGACGGACAATGGAGCATGTGGAATTCGTAGAATAATAAATAGGGCTTGGAAGTCCGTTGATTCTGTCTTCAGAAACAAATCAATCCATTTTTCTCGAGCATTTTCCCATTCTACACTTTATCAACCATGTCTCGAGTTCTAGCAGTTTTTGGTGCGACTGGTCATCAGGGAAGCTCCGTTATTAACAACGTCTTAAATGACAAGGAACTATCTCAGGAGTATTCTCTCCGTGCCATCACGCGTGATGTCAACTCAACCAAGGCCAAGCAGCTTCAAGACAGGGGCGTCCAAGTCGTCGCTGGAGATGTGACTGACAGATCTTCAATCGAGTCAGCCCTCGCCGGCGTCCACACCATCTTCGCCATGACCGCTCCCGACTTCAGCCCCAACGCCGTCGAGGTTGAGTTCAACAACGCAAAAACCATTGCTGATGCTGCTGTCAGCGCGGGCGCCCAGTATCTCATCTGGAGCACGCTTCCTTATGTTAGCAAGATCTCCAACGGCAAATATACAAAGGTGACGGCCTTTGACGCCAAGGCCAAGGCCGAAGAGTACATCCGTGGTCTCAAGATCAAGAGCGCCTTTTTCTCCGGCGGTTTCTTCATGGAAAACTTCCAGGAGCAACCGTTTCTGAGCCCGAAGCCAGGACCCGACGGAGTCTGGACCTTCACGCGGCCCAACTCTGTCGACATCAAGGTTCCCTTCTACGATGCCGTCAGCGACACTGGGAAATTTGTGGGCGCTATCCTCGCCGAGCCTGATAAGTTTGAGGGCAAAGTGCTCCACGCGGCCCAAGGTCTATACTCGATGGAGGAACTTGCGGTCATTCTGGGCAAGGCTCTCGGCAAGAAGGTGGTGTACAAGCAGGCGCCTCTAGATGAGTTCGTCCAGGGGTTGCCGTTTGCTGGGGACTTATATGGGGATGCATTTGCGTATCTAGAGGAGTACGGGTACTTTGGGCCGGAGACGGAGGCCCTCGTGGCCTGGGCGGCCGAGAATGTTCGAGGGAAGCTGACGACTTTTGAGGAGTTTTTCGTGGCTCACCCATTGGTCTTGCAGTAAGACGGCAAGGAAATGTCAGTAGTATTTCGAGGCAGAAATAAAATTTCTTCTTGTTGCATAGTTTGACGATTTGCTCAAGCATCGTTATTGTTATAGTATTGGCTGGAAGTAGTTTATCTTACGCATTTATTATCATAACTCATGTCTAAACAATACTCTCTGCTTTGGAACTTCAGATGCCCTTCGAAGTGAATCACAAGAGCTTTATTGGGGATGGGATTCAAATGATACTGTAATGATCTATTTCTTCCTGAACATTTTGTTCCTATGATCAATCTAAGAATCTCAGGTCTGTGATTTCTATACTCGTGAGGTCGACTATTTTACGCGTTGTGTTTTACTCATGCTACTTGGTTGCCCGGAATTCTGTTCCAGCTAAGAAACTAAAACTTTACCTTTGAATTAGCTGGATGGAGTGCTCATCCTCCATGTTCGCATTCGCACCATTCAGAATCAAGACAGGGGTAGCCTCATATATCATCCTCCACATGTCCCACAACCAATAATATCCTGCCGCAATATGATTTAGGCAGCCATCGCAATGCCGCCTACCCAGGATTTATTACCTAATTACCTCAGCGCCAAGCCCCGTGTGGTTTATATATTTCAAGCGGCCCGGTTCGACGGCACGACCTCGTCATACTCTTCTAGTGACCCCGCACATTCACTGCCTCCCCAAGACAGACCACAATGGCCGACATCAAAGTGACCCCAGAGCTTCAAAATGCCAGAATGCCACCGAACCTATCGCGTGAGGAAAGGCTGGCTTACATGGCCAACCATGTTGAAGCGATTCAGAAGCTGAATCCCGAGGCTGACATGAAGCTGGATACGGATTGGTGGAAAGCCTCCGTCAACCTCAGCTCCGACATCGATGTAAGATCCCTTGCTGAATTGTGTATCCGCGCTTTAATCGTCTGTTTCTAATACTTGGATCTCAAGGAATCGCTTGATGCCGAGACGAAGAGAAAGGTGAACGAAACGACCATGAAGATGTTCCAACCGGGGGCCGGACTAGACACCACCAAAGAAGTTCGCGAAGAATTAAAAGAGCTTTTAGTGGACCATGAAGATATCTATAAAAGCCTCGAGGCTTCCCTGTTTGCGAATGAGAAGGCCCTACAACAAGCACAAGAGATTATCAAGGATCAGGTTGCCACAGGCGAATTTGCGTTCCCTGGTGTCGCGGAACAGAAGAGCTCGGGTTCTCAGTAGCCCACTTTGCAAATGAAATATAGTTGAGATCTATATGAAGCCGTTTTGAATTGGCTGCCCAACCGCTAGCTGGGATGAAATTGTTGATCACGACTTTTGCTCGCTCTGGCCTTTGGTAGCCGAAGTGCCCCCCAAGTGGGCGTCAGAATCACAGGGACCACGATATTGATGGACAATACTTAGTGATAATGATGATAATAATTTGCAATTATTAGACAATATTGTCTTTACTGGTACACAATGGGAAGAATTATACACGACCGGCTGCCACAACAATTCTGTCGAGGTGACCACGTTTGTTGACGACCGTTCCATTCTGCCCCAAGGCGGTGGTGGTGACGGCAGAATCCCCAATCTCACCACCTCCTCAGGTCGTTTCTCCTGGTCTTTTCTTCTTTCTTTCTTTCTTTCTTTCTTCGACTGTAGCAAGCAGCAGACTTGTTTTTTCTCTTTACTTTCTCGATTTCAGATTCCCACATCCACAAAGCACAACGATGGCCAGCGAAGTGGTCGTTTCATTTGGTTGGGGGGTGGTTATCTCTGGGGCGATGACCTTCATCACGGCTTTTTTGGGACTCTTGTTGACCTACAAGAAGAACGAGTTGGACGCGGAGCTCGCCAGGAACAAGGACGCTCGGGAGGCAGCGGAATCGAGTGAGTGTTCATGGCCCTTCGATTATCAAATCCACTCTAACTTGAAATCAAGTTGCCGGAAGGAGAAGAATCGCCGATGCGATAAGGCAAGAAATGCTCGGCCCGCACAGGGCCGCCGTTGCCGCCGAGCGTCGTACCGCCAATGACCTCCAGAGGTCATTGGATCAAGCTCGAGAGAGCGCGGAAAATTTTCGACTTCGCGCGGAAGGCGCTGAACGTCGCGCGGTACTGGCCGAGACAGAACGAGACGCCCTCCAGACCGCCCTAGATGAAGCTCTAGAGCGCGAGAGAGTCGCTGAACGAGGCGCGGCAGGCCTTGGAGTTCGCGCGGGACACGCCGAACGTCAGTTGCGTGAGATGCGCGGCATCGTGAGAAGGCTTCGGCAGGAAGGGAGCGGCGAAAGCCAACGAACCATTTAGACCGCCAAGGTGTTGACGGGGTATAACATACCAATCACCTTAAAAGAACCAGAAGCAGCGGCATCGACCAGTCTCTGGCATTCCACCCCGGTGATTGTAAGCCCAGGACTGGCCCGGACCTTGGGTCTGTAGGTCAGGCGCCGAATCCATTCGAGCGCACCTTGTCTGGGTCTAGTAACCACTTTCAATATATGTGGTGAAGCCAAAGCAGCCCCGTTACTGTGCTTCTCCTTACAGCCAGTATAAAAACGATGCCGACCATTCAATCCGAGAATTTCTATCATAGCACTCACCAAAGCGAGTGACGATCTCTCAGATTTTATCTGCTTCTTGCTGGAAAGCAACGATCAAAAGCCTCAGAGGAGGAACTGCCGCCAACCAAAGACCAGTCATCTGTATTTCAAGCAGCATCGCAGCTCCAACCACTTCATCAACCCAATAAGGCTTTCTTTAAACCGGATGGGTCCATAGCCATTTCACACTCGAGGAATTACTTTCACCTCACCATCCTGTGCTTCGTGAAGCCACGGACAGAATTCGCCACACAGTCAAGACCAGTCGAGGACGCTGAGGCTACTTTCTACCTTCACCAAATTCGGACATTTCAAGTTTACTTCCTGGTAACGAATTCGGCATACCGACTTTAGGAAGAGGTTTACTACCCCGGCTGTCTACCGTGATCCACCTAATAGTCTTTACGAATTGGCTATCTTATGGATGACTGCTAAGCCCCGGACATAGCTATCGTTCATTATGACGGAAAATACCTAGGCCAAGTCCCTACGAGTTGACTGTCTTGTGCAATCACCGCTGGATCAAGCTTGCAACGATCTCTCGTCTTATCAACCGACGGGGGGGTATGAACACCAAGAAATACTGCTTCCTGAGGTACCTATCGAAATTTCATCCAACTTGCACTTCCCTACTGGGTTGCTTTGCATGCGGCCTTTGAACAGCATCTACCCATAAATATTGTGGTGTTATTAGTTGGTAGCACCAGCATGCAAGATAGTGGAAGGAAAATAATCCAAAGGGCTATTGTAACCAACATGGCACTCGACAATTATCATTTTGCTTGGCCTGGATAAAGCCACCGATCGAACCAACAAATCGAAGATATATTTACGCATACGCTCATCAGAATCATCCCACGCCGCCCAAATGCACTTGACCGACCGCCAAACTCCCAAGCCAACCGTTGTTTCTAAAATATGTCATGCTCCGTCATCGTATTAGAAAGCCATTCCGAGTCGCTGTTCCCAATCGAGTTGGCCATGGCCGTGATCTGCCCCGGCGACAGCCACTCCTCCATATAGCATTCCTCCAGATTGGGTATCCCTGCCGTCAGATCCTCAGTATCCTCCATATGCGCTGCCGCCAGCGGTGGCATCCCGGGCGCAAGTATTGGAGGCGGTCCGACAAGAAGCTGGCGGATCACGGGGACCGCTGCTGCTGCCTCCAGGTCGCTGCCCACGTACGTCTGTGGAGAGCTCTCCTGGGGGAGGTGGCTGAGCATGTCTGCCAGCTGCTCAAGTTCGGCGAGTCGGTATTTCGCTATCCGGTTCCCTCTCCCAATCATCTCGTTTAGGATGGCATACGCTCGCTCTCTCCAAACGGTGGTCTCGGACATCCAGCTGTAGTCGATAGCCGGGGCGAGGAGGAGGTTGAGGCTAGAGGCGAATAGAGGGTCGAGGTCGATGGTGAGAAATGAGGCTTCCCAACTGTTAGTAAGCGATTTCCTGGTGTGGACCAAACCAATGAAAGATAGATGGGTGATCATACCGAGTAGACCTTGACTGAGCAGACAATCAAGAAGTTTGATGCATTGTTGGGAGGAGTCGATGCACATCTTAATCAGACTTCGAACCGTTTGAGATGAGTTTAGACTCTCTAGATATGTGTCTGGAGATTCGAACTGAATCTTCATGAAGCAGAATAGCAACGGGCGCGTGGCGAGGATAATGCACTTTAGGGCATGAAGTTAGCACAACAGTGGTGAAGAACAAGAGAGAGATGGCTTACCTGATGATAAAGGAGATGGAGATAGCCGGAAGTCCTTGATATTGTGCTGAACGGCCCGTTGGCCTGCATGGGGAACTTTTGTTGCAACTCGTCAGTCAGATCGGCAATGTTAGACAAGACCTCCTTTGTCTTGATCAAAAAGCGTTTGTTCAGCCTGCCGTCTGTCCCGTACACGCCTAGTGAACTTGTCAGCAAGAACCACTCAAGGATGAAGATCGTAGCGTATTAGTTTTCCTTACCTTTATTGATGGCGCACATTGTTCGAGATAGGCGGATCTGCATGGCCAGCGCCGTCCTCCGTTGTGGAGAATCAGCGTAGTCAGGTAACTGTGAGTGGACGTCGTCGTCATGGATTGACTGTGGAACACCCATCAAGGAGGTCATCTGCCTGTCCAGCAGGTACGCAGTCCACCACGCCTTGCGACTTCGCTCGACAACATCCGCTCCTAACTCGTCATGTGGCATATCTGTGTGCATTCCTTGACCCAACGCCATTCGAATTGCTTCCCCAATCTAAGCACGCCACATCAGCAACGAAACTGCGGGGGAAAACAGGGGGTTCAAGTCACTTACAAAGGCATGAGACGCGTGCCTGTGATCCAGACACTGAAAGTATAGGGCAATACAGCACAAGACCTCTGTTAATAGGATCGGCTGTCCAAACAGAGCGTGGAAGCTGGGCATGCGCTGAATGGCCATGACGAAATATTCGGACCCGGGTGGGATGTCGGATTGAAAAGTGCTGCCTCCGAGGGCTTTACCCATTGCCAGAATGACCAGAAGGTGAATGAACTGCAAATCCGGCGTGCCAGTTTTGGGTGTTGGGTGCGAATAGTAGTCGTAGAGATACTTCATGAAGGACTCCTCGTCGAATAGGTGGAAGAGCTGGCTGCAGTGGAACTTGACATTGTTGATGAGGAAGATGGCATGATCAAGACTGGGAAGAGGCGCGTGGTCGAATGGATGATTCACTCTAGCGCCGTCCCAGCCTAGGTCGTATGCTGAACCATCAAAGAGGAGGGTGGATGGTGCTATGGGGGTTCCATGAACATATTCATGGGTCAGACTCATGATCCGGCGACTGAACGACCAAGTAGAAGACGTGCCAAGATAGACTGGAGCAGGAAAAGGTTAGTGGCCTGGGTGTGGCGGAACAGAAGCAGGGGCGTTCATCTCACATATTCTTCCTTCGGCTGACTTCATGAACTTTGATTTGCCTGTAGACATTGGGTTCGTGAGTGTCGAGGCGATGGGATCCAGATTTTCTCGGCTCTCAGAGCTGCGAGTCTCAGATACTGGCCTGCGGGTGGCCAACTCTGAGGCTATAGGGTGTTAGTTTGCTGACCTTTTGGATGATATGAAGTTTTCATAACCGCGAGTCCAATTCAGGAGATACATACTATCTTCATTAACATTAATGCTGTCCTGCCCAGGATGCAGGTCCGCAGATGCCGGGGTAGCATAGTCAGGGAAGCCATCCTGCTTCTCTTTCTTGGTTTGTCTCTGCAGTTGCAGCAGATATCTGGCCAGGAGCAATCAGTATCATCAGTCCAAGAATGTGGGACGAGGTCAAGGCCGTGACTTGATGCAGGCTTGGGCAACATACCCTCTTGTGACGAGAACCTTTTGGTCAAGGCTGTCGAACTCGCACGAAACTTTGCGCTTCTGGCAGGCGTCACAAGGGTGTGAGCCTGAGCATTTGATCTTTTGCTTGCGACATCTCGAGCAACTGTTGTTGTTCCACAGAAGGTTTGTGAGTCAGCTGGTGGATACTCTCTACTTTCAGCAGGCTTTGGACTGGGTTAGGTTGACGAACGCGTTGTCGGATCGTTTGGAGACCCGGCCTCGTCCAGAGGTTCTCTCGGTCATGAAGGGCTGAACACGATCGGGCAGCGAGAATCACGGGACGACAAGCGAGACCAGGCCAGATCAGCTCTGTCGAGGAAGGGTCTTGCGGTGCTGGGAGAAGCGGCGGGTGGCTGGCTGCTGATACGGCGAGGTTTGTGGCCAGATGAGTGGTTTGCCTGTGGAGTGACGTTGATAGTGGAGTGAGCACTCTGTGGGGATAACTGGGGGCCAGGCGTTGATATGCTGTAATTCGAGACCTGATGCCCACTAATCCATTGGCTGGCCGCTGGCTTACAGCGCTCGCTTCCCCTCACTATCGCTTCAGCCTTCCTCACATGCAGCGCGGCGCTAATCCTGATCGGGCCTTATCTTGAATCGCCAGCGCTAGCCCAAGTCGCTATCTCTCGTTTATGGACACTCGCATCCCTCCTTAACCTCGACGAACTGACTCGTCATCTGGTACCTGCTGGCCGAAGGAGAGACATGCAGGCCGTTCGAGCCCCAAATGCGTGGCCAAGGCGGCTAACAAACTTTGATTCACCCCCGTTACCATCCACGACCACCGATCTTCGACAGCCTCGAAACTAGCATTCCCATCTCAGTCCATGGTGCCGCCGCTAACAAACGAAGGCTGGGGTAGTGGAGAGCCCAATGCTTGGACACGAGACCCTTCTTCCCTATCTCCCTAGTCGCCGGATGCCTTCCGATGTATCTTTTCAAGATATGCTTCCACGCCAGCCTCGGAATGAATCATGAGACCGAATCCACCACCACCCGGAAGCACCGCCCGTAGCTCGAGGCTTCCCCGCAGAATCTGTCCCCCACGATAACAGGGCAAAGGCGATAGCGATCCGTCCCATTCAGGCAAAAGCACACCAAGACCTGCATGAAGGGTTAGATTCCCTTGTCTGCATCGCATCACGCCCAGGGGCGGGAGGAGGCACAGCAAGTGGACCCTGAATCCCAGATCTGTGTCTCCGGCTACGGAAGCTATCAAATATCGGGAAGTATCCCGACACTAGCCCGGCAATCTGTACCACACGCCTTGATCTGTAAATGCCAGTATGGACGATTTAGTTGGCATTTCACCGGCAATAGCTACGTCATGTGGCAATGCTGTTCATTTGAGA